ATGAATATTTTACAAAATATTTTACGGTTTATGTAAAACTAAGAAATAACTTCAAGTCTCATAATTCGGAAAGTACTTAATGAAAACTAACTTAATTATAGTGTTTTGGAAAGCTCTCTAGATGAGCTACGAGAATATGCAAAAACATACAGGATAAAAACATACAGTCTTATTTAAAAGGTTGGAGGTGACTTCACATAACTTTCAGGTGACTCTTCAAGGTCAAACAAATGACATCATTATGTCTCCCTTGAAACCATACAATTTTTGTCTGAAACATTTTTTCGTATCTTTTACGAGATATTTCGATATCTTGAGATAAAAAACTCACTCTGCATACATATAGATATGTATGCATAAATCATATATATGTATGTATGTATTATTTGTATAATTTCTTATATATTATTTTTTTAAATAAATGTAAATTATTAATATTTATTTCTTTTGTTTCAGGAAAGGCGAGAAAGTTATAAAATTGACATAAATTGTAGAAAAAAAGGAAAAGAAGAGTGAAGAAAAAAAATTATTAATTATTTGAGAACTTTTTATATTATAAGTTATTTTAATTTATTTGCAATTAGTATTTTATATTTAATTACATTTTAATTTTATTGTATTATAATATACTTTATTATATTTACAAAAATTATAATATATTATATTTACAAAAATTTAATTAATATTTAATTTTATTACAATAGTATTATTAATTATTATATTGTAATTTATTTTATTTTTTATGTATGTGTAATTAATAAATAAATCATATTATTTAGAAGTATTGATATTATTATTAATAATAATATGATATTGATGATATTGATGATAATATGATATTATGATATTGATGATAATTGATGATATGAATGATATATAAATGATGACATTGATGATATAAACTATTATATAATATTGACGATAACAACAATGATAATGATAATAATGACAATGAAGATGATGATAATGATGATAACAAAATAATAATGTTAACAATAACAATAGTTTAATAACCATAATAATTAACTTATTTATGTAAGTTAATTTATTTAAAGTGAGAAAAACAACAACAATTTTATTAATTCCTTGAGCGTTGTATCGACGTCGATCCATATTTGGTCTTAAAGTAAATGACAATTGTAACTCCAACAATAATTCGTCAGATTCCATTCCTAAAGAGAATATTAATTTTTATTATAATTGAACTTAATCTAATAATAATAATAATTGATAAATAATAATAATATTTAAATAATAATATATAAATAATAATAATAATAAATTATTAATATAGTAATAGTATGTAGATTATTAATATAAAAATAGTAACAGATATTTCAATAGTAAAAAATTTCTTGTATAAATTATTTTCTTTTTGTTAATATTAATAATATTACGTGTATATGTTTAAGATTTTATATTTAGTATATTAATATAGAAAATTCTTATAAAATGACGAGACGTAAAATTGTACGTACTTTAGAAGAAAAAAAAGAATTTTTACAACGACATCGAGAAAAAAGAAGGGAGAATCAACGACGCCGTCGTGAAAATAAGAAATTAGTTGAAAATTCTAAATTTGTAAAAAATATTTCAAATAAAAATTAGAGTTTAAACGAGAGAAAAGGAGAGAAAATATTTATTGATTTTATTAGTTTAATTTTAAGTCTTCAAAATCAAGGCAAAGTTACTTTGAATTTTTTAAATTAAATTCCCTACTTTTATTGCATATTCTTCATATTAATAAAAGATTTTATAAAATTAAATTTTAATAAAATTTTAATAAAATCAACTGGTTTCTTCGTAACTTATTATTTACTTTGTGTGTACGTGTGTTGAATGTGTGTGTGTGTGTGTGTATATATATATATATATATATATATATATATATATATAAACCGAAGTATATACAGAGTGGGCCATTTTAAGGGATCCACTCAAATAACTTTTTTATATTTGAATGTACAACAAAATGTTTCAAATAAAAGTTGCTTGACTTCGAGGGGGATAGAAGATGGGTGACAAAAATTTGACCTTGGATAGTCATTTGAGGGTCACATAAAGGTTACTTTCAATTTCTTAAATGAAGTCCCCTATTTTTCATTGCATATTCTTGTAGCTTATCTCGAGAGTTTTCCAAAACACTATAATCAAGTACCTTTTCATTAAGTACTTTTTGAGTTATAAAGCTTGAAATAATTTCTTAATTTTACATAAACCATAAAATATCTAGTAAACCATTCATTTTTCGATTATCTTACCTTGATACTTTTATGTACAAAATAATGAGAGGAATCAATTGGTGTAAAGAAAACACATAGTTGTTTCTAAGAAAAAATATGTAATTTGCAATTAACAATTCCATATTTTTTCTTAAAAACAACTGTATGTTTTCTTTACACCAATTGATTCCTTTCATTATTTTGTATATAAAAGTATGAAGGTAAGACAATCGAAAAATGAATGGTTTACTAGATATTTTATGGTTTATGTAAAATTAAAAAATTATTTCAAGCCTTATAACTCAAAAAGTACTTAATGGAAAGGTACTTAATTATAGTGTTTTGGAAAACTCTTGAGATAAGCTACAAGAATATGCAATGAAAAATAGGAGGTTCCATTTAAGAAATTGAAAGTAACCTTTATGTGACCCTCAAATGACTATCCAAGGTCAAATTTTTGCCACCCATCTTCTGTCCCCCTCGAAGTCAAGCAACTTTTATTTGAAATATTTTGTTGTACATTCAAATATAAAAAAGTTATTTGAGTGGATCATTTAAAATGGCCCACCCTGTATATATATACCCTAAAAAAATTACCCTTTTAAAAAAAAGGTAAAAAAGGTGCTAAGTCCGCGTAAAAAACAGTATATGTATTTGCAAAATAGTGTATTATTAACTGTAAAAAACTACTGTAAAAAACCTGTCTCCAAAATAGTGTTATTTTAAAACTGTAAAAAACTATTGTGAAAAACCTATCTTCAAAATAGGATTATTTTAATCTACAAAATAGTTGTTTTAATCTGTACAAAATAGTGTTATTTTAAACCGTAAAAAATTGTTTTACAAATTATTTTAATTTTGTGTAAAATTGTATATCCTACAAAAATAATGATATCAAAAAAATTGCGCTAAGTGAAAATAAAAACTTATAAAAATATTTTAACCAAAAAAAGTTATACAAAATAGTTGTTTTAATTTTCTACATTATATCCTAGAGAAATAATGATATCCAAAAATTACGCTAATTGAAAATAAAAACTTAAACTATTTTAACTAAAAAAAATTGTACAAAATAATTGTTTTAATTTCCTACAAATAATATTACAAAGTTGCGCCAACTGAATAAAAATTTTTACTATAAAATAGACATATTTCTTTTTTATTTTCAATATTAAAAGAAAAATGATATTAAATGAATTGTAATATATCTATTATTATAAAAAATCGAATTGAAAATATGAACAAACATATACATTGCAATAATCATATGCATATATCCTGAAAAGTTTAATTAAAAAAAAAAAAGAAAATGATAATACAAAATACAAAATTAAAAATTATTAAAAAGATTAAAAATTAGAAATTAATAAATAAAAAATAAAAATTTATATAAAAATTAAAAATTAATACATATAAAAAAATTTTAGTTAAAAAACTTAGCGCTGCTACGCTGAACAATGTGCTAATGAAATTAGCAGCGCTAAGTTTTTTAACTAAAATTTTTTTATATGTATTAATTTTTAATTTTTATATAAATTTTTATTTTTTATTTATTAATTTCTAATTTTTAATCTTTTTAATAATTTTTAATTTTGTATTTTGTATTATCATTTTCTTTTTTTTTTTTAATTAAACTTTTCAGGATATATGCATATGATTATTGCAATGTATATGTTTGTTCATATTTTCAATTCGATTTTTTATAATAATAGATATATTACAATTCATTTAATATCATTTTTCTTTTAATATTGAAAATAAAAAAGAAATATGTCTATTTTATAGTAAAAATTTTTATTCAGTTGGCGCAACTTTGTAATATTATTTGTAGGAAATTAAAACAATTATTTTGTACAATTTTTTTTAGTTAAAATAGTTTAAGTTTTTATTTTCAATTAGCGTAATTTTTGGATATCATTATTTCTCTAGGATATAATGTAGAAAATTAAAACAACTATTTTGTATAACTTTTTTTGGTTAAAATATTTTTATAAGTTTTTATTTTCACTTAGCGCAATTTTTTTGATATCATTATTTTTGTAGGATATACAATTTTACACAAAATTAAAATAATTTGTAAAACAATTTTTTACGGTTTAAAATAACACTATTTTGTACAGATTAAAACAACTATTTTGTAGATTAAAATAATCCTATTTTGAAGATAGGTTTTTCACAATAGTTTTTTACAGTTTTAAAATAACACTATTTTGGAGACAGGTTTTTTACAGTAGTTTTTTACAGTTAATAATACACTATTTTGCAAATACATATACTGTTTTTTACGCGGACTTAGCACCTTTTTTACCTTTTTTTTAAAAGGGTAATTTTTTTAGGGATATCACTCTTTTTTGTACTATATGTTTAACATTTTTAAATAAATGAGCAAAGAACCCGCCACCACCCCCGTCATATTTCATTAAAATTCGACGATCCTCTTTGCTTACTATGTAGATATTCTACTATATAGATCCTTCAAACTTCTTTGCTATTCTTATTGCAAAAAAAACGGATAACTACAAATCAATATGTCATTAGAAATCTACATTTATTATTCACAATTAATACTTATAAATCCATTAATGAATAACCGTTGCTTTGCTTATCTAATTCATCATTGAATATATAAATGGAACGGAGAAAAAGTGAGTTATTTAATTCTATTTTTAATAGTAAGGAAAATAAAGACAAATTATTGGCAACTTACCTAAATATTTTTTCACAGTTCATAAATAATGCAGAACATGAAGCAGTCTTCACGAAATTATTGTTGATACATTACAACATTCTTTTATATGGGACTGATCGAAATACAATTATTAAATAATTAAATATTAATCTCAAGTTACATAAAATATATTTTTAATAAAGAATTTTTTAACTGCTTCTTTATTTTATAACTTTTGATATATATATTATTTACTAGCCATCTTCTGTAAAAAAAGTAAGTAAATATTTTTAGCACCTCTAGGCCATTGCCTTTTTTTAACTTGAGCATCATTAGCTTCGATCCAAATATTAGATGTTCCTTCTCTGCACATACTTATATAATAACCTTCATCGATACTTGAGCCATGATCAAATATAGCATTTATCACTTTATACAACTGTCCATCTATTAATACTTTAGTTGTTGGAATAGCACTTAAATTAAAGTTGTGTGTTGCTTTCATTAATTTGTTATTCTGTGATAAAAATATTAAACGAATTACAACTATCTCTTTTGTCAATATTATTTCATTTTTTAATATTATATTATTTTCAGTACAATATTCACACGATTCATTATGCGACTGACACCAATGTGAAAACGTAATATTTAACAAATCATTAAGATTATAACTTTTTTTTTTCAAGTTATTAATAGGAATAGAAATAATAATATTATTATCAACAATAGTTTTTGTATTATCACAAGTTTTACACCGTTTAATAGAAGTTATTTGATGCCTCACCAAACTTTTTATACAATCATATTTTTCGCAAAGAGCCATAAAAAAATCAGATGCATTTCGTTTTACGGGACTTGAAAAATATTCTCCTAAACATTGTCGTATTGCGTATGTATTTAGATTACATATTCCATTTTCATATCGATGCATTAACACACGTAAAACATCTGATTTATCACAATTGGACAATTGCTGCCTAATGGCATTTAAATTCAATAAACACTGTAATACTGCATTTGCATAGCATGAAACCTTATCTGTATTTTGGAAACCATGCATGACCCAAGCAGTACTTTGTCGAACATTTTGATCTAAACTTGATTTTTGAACAGAAGCAACTACTTTTGGAAACGCCCATAAAACATCTTTCACTTTGTAATACTGTTCCTTTGACATGGCAATAATTTCTGCTTTTGGTTTGTGTATCTGTTTTAGACGATTATATTCAATAATTGCGTCTTCGCTAGCTATTACCGATGAAGGATCGAAGTTAATTAAATATAATCCTTCTAAAGATGTTACTCGCGATAATGCAACGTAAGTTTGACCACAATTAAATACAGAGTTACCAATGTCCATAATAGCATTTTGCAAACTCAATCCTTGGCTTTTATGAATAGTGATGCCGTAACTCAAAGATAATGGAAATTGTTTTCTGACAACGTACGCTTTATCCACTACCTCAAATTTAACACTTACTCTTTCAATTAGATATTCTAAACCTGATGGTAAAAGAAGTTTGATCTTTTCTACGTAATCATTATCTTGTACAACTGAAGTCACTTTAGCAATTGTACCGTTTACAAGACCCAAACTAGCATCAATATTACGCCGTATCATAACTTTCGCTCCAATTTTAATTATGATTTTTTTCGAAAGTCCAGCTGTTCTAGAATTATCATCATCATTATTTGATAATGCTTTTAATACTTCCTTTTTTACATATGAAATACAGTCAATCGTGTCTTCAGCAATTAATATTATTTCTTTAGAAACAATGCGACTTAACATTGCATCATTGAGAACATCACACATATGACAAGTGGGTAGTAAACAAACAGTGTCTGATGACAGATTGTTAATGAAAGTACATAACTCATTTAATCTAGATTCGAAGGAATCAGCTTTAAAAGAAATTTTTTTATTTTCGAGAATCTTACAATCAGATTTTGTTAGTAAACCGATACGAATTCTCGACAATAACTCGCGGTAAGAGTTATCTCCTTGCTGACGCATATTAATTGTTAATTCATCATAGTCAAATAATGTAGTCCATAAATTAACCGCATTTAAGGAATTAAGATATTTAGAAATTTTTTCATTTGATAAATGTTTAAAAATAGGATCATCTCGTACAGGAGGTAGTTGAAGCAAGTCTCCAAATAAAAGAATATGCTTTCGACCAAACCAACCATCATCGCAATCACTAGTGTCAAATATTTCAGACAATCGAAGATGTATATACATTAAAGTCAAATTAGATATCATTGACACTTCATCAATTATAAAAAGAATAACATCTTTAAGATCTGCTCGTAAAACTTTCAATACATGATCAGATAGTTGTTTATATCTAGGAGTATGACCATGTTCAACGGGTAATTGAAGCAATCTATGAACTGTCAAACCATCTATATTAAATGCTGCTATACCAGTAGGTGCTGATACAGCAGTATCTTTGTTGAGATTTTGTTTTATCCAGCATTTAATAGTCTTGATTAAGAAACTTTTTCCAGTACCACCTTCTCCGCTAACATATAATCGTAATACTGATTCATCTGACTCTACAGTATTGATAACTTTATCGAATACACGTTTTTGATCCGCATTTAATTTTGCGATCATTTCAGATACATCAATTTCTCGAACTGCTTTATCACCAAGATCTTTAAAATCTTGCATTGCTTCACCAGCCTCTATATTTTGAACACCTATCGGATTTTCAGGATCATCCTGAGACTGTTGTTTTTGTAAATCGTCGTCTAGGCATTGCTGAACTAACTGTTTTGCGGTTTCAAATGCTTTTTGCAATTCTTCTAATTTTTCATGATATCGCAACGCTTCTACAAGATGCAGTTTTTCTTTGTGAAACGATTCGGCATAAGTATCGTCTCCGTTTCTAAGATCTTCTAATTTTCGCCATGGTTTAAACATAAGTAATAACGAAAAGAAATAATTTTCTGGTTGTGTATTAACATTAACTTTATAATGATCAATAAGATATCCACGCTGTCGTCGCTTAAGATATTTACCATTATCTATTTTATAATACTCAACATACTTATTTTTCGGTTTGATCTTCGAGATATCATACCACTGTGCAAATTCATAAAGAGATATATTTTCTAGTTCATTTGGTCTATGTGGATAAAGATCATCTACTAAAGATGGATAAAATATATCTATAGATTCAGGATCAAGAGCTTCAATTTCCTTGCAATTTTTTATTCTTTTACGTCGTATTTGATTGACATCTAACCATTTGATAGTTGTATTTCGATCAGTTCCATACAAAGGAATACTTAACAATGTATCAGCAGCTTCTAGAGCTCCACATTCTCTATTATTTATAAATCGCAAACCCATATTCCAAAGACGACTTGCTAATGATTTGTTCTTAATATTTTCAATATTAAGAACAGAATCAGACAACTCACATTTTCCCTCTTTATTTATATATTTAGTAATGTACCAAGTAAGAAGCGATGATTTTTCACCAATAAATTGTATATCCATATTGCCTTCCCATGCAGTAAGAAGAACAGAATTATAATCATTAATATTAACTTCATTATCCGTTCGAGGAAGATCATAAAGTCTACTTTTATGTTTCAATTGTTTTCTACCTGCTATCGAAGTTGCCACATCTCTCATATTGAAAGTTTCAGTAACGGAACGAGGAAATCCAAAACGACACCGACGAATAACTTTACGTCCTACTTTTTTAGAGCGAAGACAATAATCGTTATGTTTATGTCGCTGATGCGTATCAACACGTTTATACAATAATGGTGAAATATTTTCATCTGGCATTTTGCAGCTTATATATTGTAAAATAAATTTGGAGACTTCTTCAATAGTAGATTCACCAAAAATCGGTGCATTTTTAATCCAAATTAATAAGTGGAAATGTTGTATACCTCTACCTTGGTATTCTCGTCGCCAAAAATAGTGCGTTACTTCTCCAATTGGATGATCTTTGGAGCTAATGAAGTCAAGCATTGCCCGAAATTTATTATCGAGAAACCTGGACGTTGATACAGGATCTTTACCAACAAGTACGCTAACGGATAAAGAAGCATCATGCCATCCATTTATTTCACGAATATATTCACCTAAATCTTCCCATAACCATTCACTCGGACTTAGTGTTAAAAACCATGTCGCAGGTCCGTAATGTTGCGTCATACACCTTAAATTACTTCTCGGTTTACGCCAATATTGTTCCGTATTTCGAAGTGTGGAAAATATTGTTGTTAGATCAGATTCCAACTGTTCTTTTGACATTGCTTCTAAATACTCTGCAGCCGTATAACGAACTTGAGGATTAGTTACGTTCAATTTATGATAAATTCCACGGTTTAACTGACGCATATTCGCATTATTCAACAAATAAAATAAGTATTGTTGATTTAATCTGTACTGTGGATGTTTAGATGTCAAACGACATTTAATAAATTCATGTTCATGAAGTTTAACTTCCCTAATCTCATGTTGTCCATTAATACCAAAAGGGTATAAATCTGGAAAACACATTAAATCTAAATCTTTTTCACGATTATCCAAAGGCGCATTCTGAATTTTTATCATTTGATACAAGTCTGTCGAAGTTTTATTTGCTTTCTTTTCATATAAAGGATAAATAGTATATTGTTCATAATAGCCATCATTTTCATCAGTAACTTGAGTTAACATTGCCTTCTGCTGATTGTTTAATGTAATTTCTACATCATTTTTCGTCTCTTCTACCAGATTATTTAATGACTCATTGTCAGATTCGTCACCTAATGTCGCTTCTGTCTCTTCCATTTGAAACTCTGAACTTTTTAATTGTTCTAAAATGTTTAATTCATTATGATCATTTGGCAGTATAATTTGAGAGTATAAAGCATTGTTGCGCTTTAACCACGTTAAAGCGTCAAATATTTTTTTAACATCAACCATCTCTTCCCAAATAATATTTGATTTGGTCGGAATACCTCTAACTAAAATATATAATTCGTTATTAATATTTATTGGGTCAGTATTCAAACATAATTTATTCAACGTCTCCTGTAATGGAAGTGGTAAATGAAATGTTCTACCTTTAACTTTTTGTACAATTTGCCTTTGAGGCAACTTTTTATTCATAACAGTTCCCATTTTGACGACAGTTTGAAACGCTTTAGCTCTTTGTATAATCATTTTTTCAAATGTATTAAGAGATGATATTACTTTGGGCACATCATTTGTAAGGAGATTATTTAAGATGCAATACGCAGGCATTAAGCCTTTACGAAATTTCCCTGCACAATAAGTACATATATATTGCGCATTATTTTCTTGTTGTTGTATATGTGTCATTAAACCTCTCCAACTTGGAATATTTATTTGTTCTCGAAGAATATTGACTTCAGAAACATTTCTCTTATAACACAATTTTTCGCATGATACGCAAGCATGCCGTGGTGTGTCTGTTGACCGCTTAACCAAGGCCTTAAATGCTTGATGATATTTAGAAATAATATCATCGTCGCTCAGAATTGTATCTGCCTGTTGATGTTTGTACATATCTGCTTTTTCTTGTGCAGAAGTTACAATTTCATTTAATGTGTTTAAATCAGCATGAGTTAATGCTTCATCCAGATTATCCATCTTTCGATAAAAATCTGTAAGCTGATAAATTAAACGCTTAATATATCTTACTCGTGGAAAATGAGGCGATAATAGTTGAACTGGAAGAAACATTCCTTCGCAAAGTGTGAAATCAATATGGCAGCTACGCGTATGGTCCAATTTTTCATTTGAAATTTTCATAGTACATTTATGAATATTTTCTATCAATTTGGGTACATTCTTTAAAGTACATGTATTTATAGTTTCGAGAAATTTCTGATAATGATTAATTAAAAATGGATCGTTAGTTTTACATGAAGTATTGCACGACCACGATTTTTTCGCTTCTATTTCTATCAACGGTAATATATTTACTACTTGTCCTTCTGCATTCATTGCCAAAGGTTCCAATGCGGTTTTTATTAACGGTAGATTTGCTACTTTCTCTTCTGCATTCATTACCAAAGTTTCCTTTGAAGTTACATGACGATATGTAGAATCAATAAAATAGTTTTCAGATGAGGCTGTATGGCTAGATTCACCACATAACGCATCTAATTTTTCTTCAATTGTAGAACATTTTGTGATTTGAGTCAAACTTGCTTCTGTTTTCTTTTTAATCAAAGCTAATATTTTGTAGATATTACGAATATGACTTCTTCTAACATGCATACAACAACGTATGATTTTTTCGGCTTTTAATCGTTTCTCGATATGGCCTTTAATACTGAGTTTCTTAACGATATTTTTTATAAATGTTTCTAAAGAATAACGAAGTTTTATGGTGTTTTTCGACCAAAACTTTTCATATTTTTTAATAATTTTTTTTCCAACATCGTGATTTTTTATTGCAAGTACAGATTTTTTAGTTTTCTGATAATATCGTCTGTTGTAAAGCCATTTGCGATCAGGATCTAATTCTTTTTGTCTATCTCGTTCTTGCTGAGTGTTTATGGAATAGTGTTTACGTTTTTGTGCACGTTGTTTTACAATATTCTGTTTATATAAATCCCGTTTCTTAGCGGTTTATTTTCTATATCCTTATTATATCGATACCGTTCCTTAGCGCGATTATGTTCTATATCCTGTTTATATCGATTTCTTTTCTTAGCACGTTTATCTTCTAAATTTCTTTGATATCTATAATGTTGTTTAGTGCGATTATTTTCTAAATCTTGTTCGTATCGATGTCGTTTTTTAGCGCGATTGTTTTCTAAATCTTGTTCGTATCGATGTCGTTTTTTAGCTCGATTATTTTCTAAATCTTTTGTACAATGTATCTGCTTGTTAATAAGTAAACTTTCTAAGTCTTGCACATCTTGTTCTTTTTTATTAATAACTTCTAATTGGACAGTATCTTCACATCGAGAACGTTTCTTAGTACATTTACTTTCAGAATTTTTGTTTGTATAAGTTTGTTCGTAAATTTTGATTTTATTTGTTTTATTGTTACTGCATAAATCATTATTATTATAATCAATAATTTTGTAACTGGTATGATTTTTAATATAATGTTTATTTTGAAAATATTTATCAATTTCTTCAATATCATTTGTTTCTTCAATATAATTTGTTTGTATAAATTCTTCAACATTATTTGTTTCTTCAATATTATTTGATGTTTTTGTAAATTCTTCAATATTATTTGTTTCTTCAGTATCATTTGTTTCTTTAATATTATTTGTTGTTTCTATAAATTCTTTAATATTATTTGTTATTTGTATAAATTTTTTTTGAGTATTTTTGTCTGTTAATATTAATAATTAATTATTACTTAATTTTTTCTTAGATCGACTATTATAAACTTTTTTCAAACGATTCAATTTTTGTTGCTTTGTTTCATGTTGACGTATCTACTTAGACGAATTGCT